GAGGTTGACAATATTCACAATATTTTTATTTACGATTGCAGTATTAATGCGCAATTGGTGATATTCCGATTGGAACTGATACACATACAATATAAACTTTTCGATTATAAAAATTAACAAACTTTCCATAAGTTTTTTAAATTTTCTCATCTGCAAGCTATATATTATATACAAAAAGTCGATTTTATATATATATATATATATAAACCGAATTTTAGTAATAACAGGGTTGCTACAAAAAATTAATTTTTTTCCCTGATTTCCAAACTTTTTCCCAACTGATTTTGCCATTTTCTCTGTCCCAAAAGAATATTCTGATTTGCTCTAAAATCATAAGAATATTGTAACTATAAATTCAAATTTTTAAACATTTTAATTTTGAAGTTAAACCCTTTTCAAAATTCAATTATTTCTAAAAATTCACGCTATAATACTCTTAATATTCTAATTATATAATTTAAAATTTTAAGTAAAATTCAGTATTTTATTAATTTTTATTAAAAAATTTTTCGAGAATTCGCAATTATTTGAATACAAAAATGAATAATTTTTTAAATAATTAAATATTTCTTAAAATTGAATTTTTATGAAGAATTTTATCAACATTTTAAAAAATAATTGAATTCTTTCGGCGAATATAAAAAAAAATTCTAAGAATAAATGCAATTTTCTAGCATTTTATTTAAAATTGTATAAAAAATAATTGAAATTCTGCGATAAGCTCTTGTTATTTATGAAAATAATTGAATTCTTGCAACGAATTGTATTAAATATTTTTCTAAAGAATTGAATTCCTGTAAAGAATTTTATTTTTGAAATTAATTGAATTTTCAAGAAAAATTGTATTATTTATGAAAATAATTATTTTCTTGTGAAGAATTTTATTTAAATTTTTTTAAATAATAATTGAATTTCTCAAGAATTTTTTAAAACTTTTTCAAAAAAAATTCAATTCTATCGAATAATTTCCTTAAAAAATTGAAAATAATTGAAATCTGACGAAGAATTTTATTAATTTTTTTTTTAATAATAAATTAGATTTTTGTGAAGATGTTTATTTTTGAAAAGAATTGAATACTTGGGAAGAATTTTATTAAAATTTTTTAAATAATTGAATTGCTTCGAAGAATTTTATTTTTTACGAAAATAATTGAATTGTTTCGAAGATTTTTACAATAATTTTATTCTAAGAAAGAATGTTATATTTTATAAAAATAATTGTATTCCTTGATCACTTTTATTATAATTTTTGAAATTTATAAAGCATTTTATCAAAACTTTTTAAAATAATTGAATTTTCCATGAAAAATTTTATTATTTATGAAAAGAATTGGATTCTTGGGAAGAATTTTATTTAAATTTTTTAAAATAATAATTGAATTTCTCAAAATTTTTTAAAACATTTTCAAAAAAATTAAATTTTATCGAGAAATTTCATTAAAAAAATGAAAATAATTGAAATCTAACGAAGAATTTTATTAAATTTCTTTTTAAATAATTGAATTTCTTTGAAAATGTTTATTTTTGAAAAGAATTGCTCTTTTGGGAAGAATTTTATTCAAATTTTTTAAATAATTGAATTACTTGGAAGAATTTTATTTTTTACGAAAATAATTGAATTCTTCGGGCGAATTTAAAAAAAAATATTTAAGAATAAATGCAATTTTCTATCATTTTATTGAAAATTTTATAAAAAATAATTGAAATTTTGCGGTAAGCTTTTGTTTTATTTATGAAAATAATTGAATTCTTGCAACGAATTGTATTAATTACTTTTTTAAAGAATCGAATTCTTGTGAAGAATTTTATTTGTGAAAATAATTGAAATCTGAAGAAGAATTTTATTAAATGTTTTTTTAAATAATTGAATTCCTATGAAAATATTTATTTTTGAAAAGAATTGAATTCTAGGGAAGAATTTTATTAAAATTTCTTAAATAATTGAATTGCTTCAAAGAATTTTATTTTTTTACAAAAATAATTGATTTGTTTCGAAGATTTTTACAAAACAATTTTGACAATAATTGTATTCCCAGGAAGAATGTTATATATTTGACGAAAATAATTATTGTATTCTATGATCAATTTTATTATATCTTTTGAAATTTATAAATCATTTTATCAAAATTTCTTGAAATAATTGAATTTTCGAGAAAAATTTTATTATTTATGAAAATAATTGATTTCTTGCGAAGAGTTTTATTCAAATTTTTTTAAATAATTCAATTCGCATAAAAAAATGTATTATTCGTGAAAATAATTTAATTTTTAAGAAGAATTCTATTTCAAATTTTATTATAACTAATTCTTGTAAAGAATTTTGTCAAAATTTTTTTAAATAATAGAATTTTTAAAAGAATATATTATTTAAATTTTTTGAAATAATTGAATTTCTCACAACTATTTTTTTTTCAATTCTTTGAATATATTTGAATTTTTTCGAGAAATTTCATTTATAGAAATGAAAAATAATTGAATTGGTTCGAAGAAAATAAAAAATTGCTCAGTAATTGAATTCCTGTGAAATTTTGATTAAAATTTTGTTTAAATAATTGAATTCTTTTGGAAAATGTTATTAAAATAGTAGATATTAAAAATAATTGAAATAATTTCTAAGTAATAATTTTATGACATAGTTTTTGAAGAATTAAGTTAGTTAAAAATAAATTATTGTCACAAATAAAAAAATAAGTTTTGCATTAGAATTCTTGACAATTTCATACTTTATGAGGCAAACAAAAAAGACTAAAATTCTGAATTTTCTTATAAATTCTAAAAATTTAATTTTTTCCACTACATTTAATAAAAATCCCGGACTTTTCCCTGATAATCCTGACCAATTATAATTTCCCTGACTTTTCCCTGACCTGTGGCAACCCTGAATCAAATTTCGATTTTCAAGAAAGAAAATTAATAATAATTTTTGGAATATATTTGAAATTTTCTACTTTAATTTTCCATTTTATTGGCGTGTCTAGAAACTCGGGGAGGTCTATATAGAAAGATTATGGGCTTGACGACCGTTACAAGAGTCCATCACGGCTCCATCACCCATTAAAAATTCTAAAGACGCCTCTCCTGAGGTTTATGACACGATAACGTAATGCCTTGAATAAAATTGTGCGCTTCATTCTTTTTCCTCTATTTTCTTACATTCGTCCTGACATGTATAGCGAAAGTCATACATTTTACACCTCCTATATATTCTCGAAAGAATTTCCACGATGAACCGTTCCAAAAGTTTATCTTATTTTTATATATAGAAATCGTATATATAATACCGTCGGAAGAAGGAAAGTTCGCGTTGTTCGTTTCGATTTCGTTTACCGGTCGTTTCGCCTTTCGACCCTCCTTCTTTTTTTCCCCCCATATTTCCCTCTATCGCACAACCACTTTTTCTATTGTCCTCTCTCTTTCTCTACTTCTTCAGGAGTCACATCCCTCATCTCCCATTCCACCTCATCCAAGCGAGCCACGATCGTTACTATGGCGCTACGTCTTTACAAATTTTATATCATTTTTATGAGACATAAAGTCGTCGAGAAGTCGACAGAGAGGAATGTATGCGCGGAAATGAAACAAAAGAGAGAAACTTGAAGTGCGGAGGAAATGTATAGGAATTATTGAGAGAAAACGAAAAGAAAAGAAAAAATACACGTGACTGAATGAAGTGGACGAATTTGAGTCATTCCTCTTCTAAAGTTTTGCGGACTCTTTGTTATATTCATGGAGTATGGGGTGGAAAGTGTGCGTCTGGGGTTTGAAATCTTCTTCGCTTCATCAAAAAACGCTTGGGTTCTATTACAATTTTTAAAGTGCTTTCTGTAATACAACTTGAAACCAGAGAGATTTTGTTTTCCGTCTAAACAGAATAAGAGAGAGAAGAAGAAGAGGAAAGGATCCAACTTTTATTATTCGAGGGTCTGTATTTTTTTTTTTTTTTTTTTTTTGTCTTCAAATATTTCTTTTTCGTATATATATAGCCCGATCGCATTTATGTAAGTAGCCTGCGCTTAAAAAGTGCTTAAACATTAGAGCATCTTCTTGTTTAATCTCAAAGAGGTATATCTTAATTTCGTCACAATTGAGATAATCCTGCGCTAACTCCGCAGCAAAGTCACAAGCACTTAATGGTGAATTGTATTCTCCTTGGACAGTTTACGGGTCCCAAGGTGCATATATTCTCCGTATACTTTAAGTTTTTTGATAATACGAGTGTAATTGTGAATAATTACTATATAAAAAATATTATTTCACGAATTTAAATTCTTTCTAAATGAAAATCACTAAAATTTAATATACAATTCATATAGAAATTCTGTAAAATCATTCTAAGGGAAAAAAAAAAAAAAAAAAAAAATCTAGTGAATATTTACTAGAATATATATAGAAGAATTCTAGTGAAATTCTTTAGAACTTAAGAGTTCTGGAAAGAAAAAGCAAAAAAATTGTCTTTTGCCATATTGCGGCAAAAAAATAAGAGAATTTCCATCATCTCTTACAAAAATATATATATATGTATATAGAAAAGCAATCATCCTTGGATTACGTGGACAAAGAGTTCCGGACGAGATAATATATAAGTATTTTTATAATCAATAAACAAACTGACCGTTATGCGTGCGTGACTATAATCCAGCTGACAATGAAACCAATGCTTCTCGCGCTTATATTCTTTCTGATAAAAAAAAAAAAAAAAAAAAAAAAAAATGTATACATACTTAACTCCTACACTCGAATCTTGTTATAACGAATCTCGTTACAACGTTCTCTCGTTACAACGAACATTAAAACTCTCGATACAACGACAAAAAAAACACGAACGAATTTAAGAATTTAATTTAACCAAAATTTTGGTTAACTCAAAAAAACGACTAAGTTAATCAACCCTCTACTTTATATAACCTAAAGAATCTAGTGATGTGATTATTATTAAAAATTCTTACTTTTTCTTTAAACTGATCCCATAATGCAGAAACTTTTAATATAAATAAACATACTTTACGAAATTTTTTACACGTATTTGACGTTTTGTTCTGTTAATCACAGATAAATTCATGTGTTTGAATAGAACGTGAAGTAGGATTCCTCCTTCCGTCGTAATATCGAGATTTTGAAGTCCCGAGATCGTCGTTATAACGAGAATCGAGTGTATATGCATATGTGTCGAGAAGCAATTATCATTCTGTCAATCATTATACATCACTGTCATTATTAAAAATGCAAATTTTTTTCTTTCATCGCGACAAGATTAATTACCAAAATTTTATTATTTCTTCATCAAAGTCGTTCAATTTTTTATAGTTTCAGAAAATTTAAGCTTTTATTGATATTATTTCAACTTATTCGCACAAAAAATATTAATAAAAATTATTATTATCATAAATAAAATAAATAAAATAAAAAAATATTAAAATAGCAAAAAAGAGCTTTAAAGCTGAAAACACAAAAAAAAAATTCAATTTTGAAGAAATTACCAATGCAGAAATTTAATTATTTCAAAAAAAAAAAAAAAAATTCTTATAAAATTCAACTTCAAAATTGAAAAAAAAATTTTCCTAAAAATCCCAATTATCTATATAAACAATTATCTTTATAACAAAATTCTTCTCCAAAGTTCAATTATTTTCATAAATGTCGAAAAAAAATTCTTGTCCTTAATATCAATTATTTTCAAAAATTTTTCTAATTTCATTGAACTTCAATATCTATTATTTTAAAAAAAATTTCCGAAAAAGAATTCAAGTATTTAAAAAAAATTTATTAAAAATTGTATGCAAACATTTAATTATTTTCATAAGTAATAAAATTTTTTTAAGGAATTATTATTTTCATAAAAAATAATTTAAAATTCTATAAAATTATAATTGAATTAAAATGATGAAAATAATTTTGATAATTGATTTTTTCCGCATGAATCGAAATTAAATTTTTAAGAAATATGACATTTATTTAGCGCATTTCATGTAAAATTGTATTAAAAAAAATTGAAATCCTGCAATAAATTTAATTTTTTAAGAAAATAATTGAATAGTGACTAAGAATTTTATTATAATTTTCAAAAATAATTGAATTCCTGAGAAGAATTTTATTATTTATAAAAATAATTGAATTATTGAGAAAAATTTTATTAAAATGTTTAAAAAGAATTAAATTTCTGTGAAAAATTTTGTTATTTTTGAAAATAATTGAATTCTTCATATTAGAATTTTATAAACATTCTTTTAAATAATTAATTTTTTCGAAATAATAAGAAATATTATGAACATTTTATTACTTTAAATAATTGAATTCTTCTGGAAAACTTTATTTGTGAAAATAATTGAATTTTTCGATTAATTAATTTAAAATAGTATTAAAAATAATTGAAATTCTTCAATGAAGATTATAATTCATAAAAATAATTGAATTCTTCCAAAGAATTAAAAAAAAAATTTTCTTTTTAATAATTGATTTTTCGATGAATTGAAATTAAATTTTTAAGAATAATTACATTTTTTAAGCAATTCCTGTTAAATTGTGTTAAAAATAATTGAAATTTTGCAATGATTCTTATTATTTATGAACGTAATTGAATAGTTACAAAAAATTTTATTAAAATTCTCAAAAATCCTAATTAAATTCTTTTGAAAAATTTCTTTGAATTTTTTTTTAACCCAATGGAGTTTTTTTAATAATTTTAATTGAAAATTTTGAAAGCAATTGAATTTTATGAAGAAGAATTTTATTAAAAGTGAATTGAAAATAATTGAAAGTTTGCGAAGAATTTTTCTATATTTATAATAATAGTTAAATTGTTTCGAAGAATTTATGAAAATTTCAGTAAATATAATTAAAAATGGAAATATTTAAAAATATTTGAATTCATCCGAGGAATTCAATTAAAATTATATTTTGAAAATAATTGAATTCTCGCAAAGATTTTCACTATTTATAAAATTAATTGAATTCTTCAATTTTACTATTCATAAAAATAATTGATATGAAGAATTTAATAGAAACATTTGAAAATAATGAAATTTTTTCAAGAAATTCAATTAATGTTGTTTTGAAAATAATTGAATTTCTTGAAAAAATTTTATTAAAATTAAGTATATTCAAAATAATTGAATTCATCACAAGAATTTTATTATTTTTTAAAAATAATTGAATTCTTTCAATTTCTTTTAACCAATCTATTTAAAAATTGCATTGAAAGTAATTTAATTTTTATATAGAATTTTTTTTAAAAATATTTTAAGAATAATTGAATTATTTTTTAGAGAATTTTAAATTCTTCTTGAAATTGAATTTTATGGAAATTTTTGAAAATAATTAAATTCTTTCATGTAATTTTATTTAAATATGATTAAAAATAATTATAATTCCTGCAAAGAATTTTTGTATTTAGAAAAATAGTTAAATTGTTTCGAAGAATTTATTAAAATTATTTAGGAAATAATTGAAATTTATGGAAATATTTAAAAATATTTGAATTCATCGGAAGAATTCAATTAAAAATTGTTTTGAAAATCATTGAATTTTTATAAAGATTTTACTATAAATAATTGAATTGTTTAGAAGGATTTATTGAAATTTTAGAAAATAATTGAATTGTTTCGTGAAATTTTATTAAAATTTTTGAAAATATCTTCGAAGAACGAATTATATTATAAAGTCATTATTACAAGAATGATTTGACTTAGAGATATGAGAAATTTTCCCCTGATTTTTGAATTCTGTCCAGAGGGGAAAACGAAAAGAAAAATAAAAATAAAAAGCGCAAGTAAATAATTTTTCTGTTGGTATCGCGAGTTGTGCAGTGTTTGCAAGCACAGGCACACAACGTTTGCAACTGTGTGAGTTGGTGTGATGAATCCGACTCCCCCACACTTGTGGGTGACTTGACAGCCAATGGAAGCGCTACCATGGGGCGGCGCCTTAACTGCGACCAACATGGCAGCCGTCGCGACGGCGCTGCCGGACACAGTACGGCTGTAACCACTTGCCACACTGTGACGCTACTTTCTCTACTCACAATACTCACAAGGTGGCATTCATCAACTCGTTTCAAAATTACCAGCGACAATTACCATTATTATGGCGTAAACATTTTATGGGACCATTTTTCTTTTCTTTGCTTTTCTTTGCTTTTCTTTGTTTTTAAGACAACCTGATGCATTTTTTAGCCATCATCAGTATATAATCATTAACCATTCCAGGCTTCGTACTCATCTACTAAAACCAACTATTTACCACTTTTTTTTACTTTATGCTACTATTTGGGTACTTTTTTAAATTTCAGCCACTAAAAGCTATTTCTATTCGAAAATATTTGAAAATAATTGAAATTTTGACATGAATTTTATTAATTTTTGAAAATAATTGAATTTTATAAAAGAATATTATTATTTATAAAAATAATTAAAATTTTGATGAGAATTTTTTTTTAATTTTTAAACGTAATTGAATTTCTGCGAAGAATTTTATAAGTTTCGATTACTTAATACTAGAATTAGATTACGTAATTAGATTACGCTAATATATACTAGAAATCAAAATACTATTCTCAAAAATTATAATCAAATTCTTTAAAAAGATTCAACTATTTTCAAAAAATATTCGAAATTCTATTCACAATATCTATAGTATTTTCATAAAATTTCGCAAAAGAATTCAATTATTCAAAAAAAAAAATAATAAAATTCATCCAAAATTCAATTATTTAAAAAAAATATTCGAAATTCAATTATTTTCTATTTCTATACTATTTTCATAAAATTTCGCAAAAGCATGTAATTATTTAAAAAGTAAAATTGATAAAATTCAATTATTTTCATAAATAATAAAATTTCCACAGGAATTCAATTAATTTAGAATTGAATTTTCAAAAAAATTTCGAAAAAAACAATTATTTAACAAAATTTTTATACAATTATTCACAATAATTCAATTACTTTCACTAATAATAACATTTTCCATGAAAATTCAATTTAAAAAAAAAAATTTTGATAAAATTCTAAGCAAGAATTCAATTATATTTTCATAAATAATAAAATTCATCGAAGAATTTCAATTACTTTTAATACTATTTTAAATTCATTAATCGAGAAATTCAATTATTTTCAGAAATAATATAAAATTCCTCTTAGAAATTCAATTATTTTTGAAAATTTTAATTAAATTCTTTGCAACTATTCAATTATTTTTATAAATAATAAAATTCATTGCAGGATTTTAATTATTTTTAATACAATTTTACAGGAATTGCTCAAAAAAAAATGTAATAATTCTTAAAAATTAAAAAGAAAATTTTTTTTTAATTCTTTGGATGAATTCAATTATTATTTCATAAATTGTAAACCTCATTGAAAAATTTCAATTGTTTTTAATACTATTTTAAATTAATTAATCGAAAAATTCAATTATTTTCACAAATAAAGTTTTCCACAAGAATTCAATTATATTTCAAATATTTTAATAAATAATAAAATGCATATTGCAAGATTTCAATTATTTTTTAATACAGTTTTACAGGAATTGCTCAAAAAAATTTAATTACATTATTAAAAATTTAATTTTAATTCCTGGAAATAATCAATTATTTAAAAAAAAATGTTTTTTTTAATAGGAGCCAAGAATATTTCCTATACTTAAAATAAATTAATTGGCCCCACTTAATTTAAGTGGGGGCACTTAATTTAAGAACACTGAAAAATTAATATTCTTAATTTAAGAATATATACTTAAAAAAAAAAAGGTGCCCAGGATATTCCCCACTTAAATTAAGTGGGAAATATTCTTACTACAAGAATATATTCTCATTGTAAGAATATTTCCACTTAATTTAAGTATGTGGAATATCCTGGGCACCTTTTTTATTATATATTCTTAAATTAAGAATATTTTTTTTTCAGTGTAAGTAATGAAGAATCGATAATGTAACTAAATAACATCTTGAATATTAATTATAAGTCCCAGGAAATAAGTGTAAAAATAGACTATAATATTTGGAATTTGTTTGGGGCGAGAGTAGATTTTTCTTAAAACACCTGACTTCCATTTCATCGTGAAATAAATAGAAAGGAGCTTTAAGGATAAGGACGGATGGTTGGTTACATTCAGCGTTTTCTACCCTGTTTATTACATTGGAGTTTCTTGGGGGGACTGCATTTCTCTATATCTATATATTGTATAAATATATATACTATATTGTATATAGCCGGGAGAGAAAAGTCTCTGCAGGACCAGAATTGGTAGCGAGGACGCGTTGATCCCTTCAGGATGACGGCCTTATCCAATCCAACTTGTTACGTTATATTTATCAGCACAAAGCACGCGTATTGTTTTTCCCTCTGAGCGAACTGCTTTTTCGATCAGCTGATTCGATTTCCATTTTCTATTCTCCTCATCTACACCTCGAAAAATACTGCAAGCTTTACATTTCACAACTTTTTATATATATATATATATCTCTATGTACATTTTTTTTAGTTCATTAAATTTTTTTATAACTATAAAACATGAAGATGACCAAGTAATAAAATTCGTTATTTTATATTATAAGAATATTTATAAAAAAAAAAAAAAAAAAAAAATTTTCTTTAAATAACTCCGAGTCTTCAACTCGGAGTGATCGATATCTTCATGTTTTATAATAATTAAAGATGACCAAGTAATAAAATCGTTATTTTATATTATAAGAATATTAAAAAAAAAAAAAAAAAAAAAAAAAAATTTCTTCAAAATTATGTTCATTATTTCAATTCAATTATTATTTTCAAAAATTTTTAATAATAATAGTAACAATAATATTTAATAATAATAATATTATATATATAATAATATATTATATATTTCAAAACTTGATAAATCCATATTTTCTTATTTCGAGAAAATGAAACAAATCACTTTTCTCACATAACCACTATAGTTAATTTTAAATTAAAAAATTTGTATTAATTTATTTTTATAACAATGTTTTTATATTTAAGACGTTCTGTTTTTAATTAAACATTATCATAATTGATTTACAGATTTTGATAATTTTTTCTAATAAAAAACATAAAAATTATAAGTCATCTTATGTCAAAAAAGTTTTTAAATTGAAAATTCGTTGATTATAAATTTTTTTTCTAACATTTAACAGTGATAGGTCAATTTGTGAGCGTCTTTAAAATATTAAATTTATGTTTAACTCAATTTTTTAAAAAATGGATTTATCAACTTTTGAAAATTTGCTCCTCAATTGGATTGTTGTAAAAATTTTAAATATTATTTATGAAAATAATTGAATGTTTGCATAGAATTTTATTCAAATTCTTTTTTTAATAATGGAATTCTTTTGGAAAATTTTATTGAAATAGATATTTAAAATTATTGAATTTTATAAAACTTTTGAAAATAATTGAAATTTTGACAAGAATTTGATTAAAATTTTGTAAAATAATTGAATATCAGAGAAGAATTTTATTATTTATAAAGAGAATTAAAGTTTACCAAATTTTTTTTAAATTTTTGAATACAATTGAATTTAGTAACTATGTTACCAAGTTAGTTAGTAAGTTAGTAACTAAATTGGTAACTAACTTACTAATTTACAAATCGTTGACTTTGGTGTTTTATTTAAAGTAAAATTCCATTCATAGTTAAAAAAAACACCAAAATAGATTATTTTAATCCTTTCTGGTGTTAATTTAATCATAGAGGGCTTAAACTGTTGCAGATTATTTTAATCCATTTTGGTGTTATTTTAACACTTCACGTTTTACTGTGATAGTAAATTCACATTTCTTCAGTGTATACTTTATATATACGTGACCGAGGGTTAGCTTCGTGTTTTTAAAATCATTTCAAAGCAACAGAGATATCTATGGGGGTTCAAGTGACACGTTGAGATTTCTAAACTACTGGTGGGAACCATTGCCAAACGCGTGCTTCTTGTTTATTCGCTATTTTCATTTTTAAATCACGACGAACCGAGGGTGAAAGGGTTGAGAATATTTTTTAGTAATAACAATTTTAATATAGAACATGCCTAGAATCAAACCGTAAATTTTTACGTGAGACAGAAATGGACATTTGTGAATATCTTCAATTATTATAAAATTATTCGAAACAATTGTTTTTAAAAATTTTTTCTAAATAGTAGAATGGTTAATGATACAATGTCTTATAATAGAATGGTTAATGATTTTGATTTCTAGTATTAGCGAATATACATATATATAGATAATTAATTTTAAAAAAAGTAGCAAAAAGTAGCTTTCAAACCTAAAAAAGTAGTAAAAAAGTTGGCTATCGAAAAATTAAACTTGACGACCAAAAAAAATCGTTTTAGACCACTTCACAAAACTAACAAAGTATTCCATTCTATATTTTATTTTCCTGGCTGTTTTCTAATTCTCATAAAAAATATTTATTTATTTCTCATCCTGATGTTAATAATTTGAATTTATGCAACTAATTTTATTATTCATACGAAAGAATTTAAATAACTATAGAAATAATTTAATTCTTGCGAAGAATTTTATAAAATTTTTTAAAAAATTCATTTCTTTCGACTAATTTTATGCAAATTCTATAATTTAAATAATTGAATACCTGAGAAATTTTTATTGTTCATGAAAGAAATTGAATTTTTACGAAGATTTTTACAACAAAAAAATTTGAATTGAATTTCCAAGAAGAGATCTATTACTTTTTAAAAATAATGGAATTCTTGTAAAGAATATTGTTACTTATGAAAATAATTGAATTTTGCAAAGAATGATCTTAAAGTGCTTCAAAATAATTGAATTTTCGGGAATAATTTTGTTATTTATCTTTATAATAATTGAATTCTTTCGAAGAATTATTTATGTAAATAATTGAATTCTTGGGAAGAATTTTGTTAAAATCTAAAAGAATATAATTGAATTATTTCAAAAAAATTAAAATAAAATTGTATTTAAAATAATTGATTGACAATTTTATTAAAATATGGGAAAATAATTGAATTCCTGTGAAAAATTTTAATATTTTTGTAAATAATTGAATTCAATTCTTCCAAAGAATTAAAAAAAATACATTTTTTTAAATAATTGATTTTTTCGAGGAATTGAAATTAAATTTTCAAGAATAATTACAATTTTTTGAGCAATTCCCGTAAAATAATATTAAAAATAATCAAAATCCTGCGATGAATTTTATTATTTGTGAAAATAATTAAATAATTGCTAAGAATTTTACTAAAATTTTCGGAAATAATTGAATTCCTGAGAAGAATTTTATTATTTATTAAAATAATTGAATTTCTGAGAAAAGTTATATTATTTATAAAAATAATTGAATTTTCGAGAAAATTTTTATTAAAATCTTTAAAAAGAATTGAATTTTTGTAAAAAATGTTGTTATTTATTTTAAAATAATTGAATTCTTCATAAGATTTTATAAATATTGTTTTAAATAATTAATTTTTTCGCAATATAGTAAATATTATGAAAATTTTATTTTAAATAATTGAATTGTAATAATTTAAAATAGTATTAAAATAATTGAAATTCGTCGATGAGTTTTATTATTTATGAAAATAATTAAATAGTTGAAAAAAATTTTATTAAAATTTTAAAAAATAATTGAATTTCTGAGAAGAATTTTATTTTATATATAAAAATAATTGAATTATTGTGAAAAATGTTATTAAAATGTTTTAAAAGAATTGAATTTCTGGGAAAAATTTTATTATTTTTGAAAATAATTGAATTTTTCATAAGAATTTATAAACATTGTTTTAACTAATTAATTTTTTTTTGAAATATAATATCCTATTATGAAAATTTTTATTTTAAATAATTGAATTTTTGTGGAAAACTACTATTTATGAAAAATAATTGAATTTTTCGATTAATTAAATTAAAATAGTATTAAAAATAATTGAAATTCTTCGATGAGTTTTATTATTTATGAAAATAATTGAATTCTTGTTTAGAATTTTATCAAAAAATTTTATTAGAAAAATTGAATTTCCATGAAAAATATTATTATTGAAAGTAATTGAATTATTGTGAAGAATTTGTATAAAAATTTTGTTAAATAATTGAGTTTTTCGAAATTTTTTTGAATATGCGATTCTAAACTAATTGAATTTTTGTGAAAATTTTATTATTTATGAATGAATTTTATCGATTTTTTTTTTAAATAATTGAATTCTTTTGCGAAATATTATGAAAAAAGTATAGATATTGACAATAAATAATTTGATGTTCGAATATTTTTTGAAAATAATTGAATCGTTTTAAAGAATTTGATTATAATTTTTGAGAATAATTTTTTGATTTTTAGTATTAGCGAATTTAAAGTAGTATAGAAATTGTTAAAAATATTAGAAATAGTAGCTTTTAGTGGCTGAAATTTAAAAAAAGTACCCAAGTAGTAGAGTAACGTATAAAAAATGTAGTAAATAGTAGCTGTTTTAGTAGATGAGTACGAAGCTTGTATTCGTATGTTGTATTTATCCTAACTTTTGGATATGATTTACTAAGCATATCCAAAAGTTAGGAATAGCTAGGATACTCTGGATATCCGTTATTAATGATGGCAATGATGGCAACTCTAATATATTAGGGAAATAGGTTAAAAAATTAACTAAGAACATTTCTAATTTGCTTAAATGAGTGAATATGTTGATCGTATATAGAGCAAGATTGCAAGAAGGTGTGAAACAAGCCACGTGCTATGCGGCATCATACATCATGAGCCCTTCTTCTTTTTCTTCTCCTCGCGAAGGGAGTCCATGAATATTCTCTCGTGCTTCTGGTGTGCGGTGAATGATGAACGACATTTCCCATTCCACCAATGAAGCCACATTTTGCCTCTAAAAGAGACATCTCACGCCTCGATTGCTCCTATAAGACTTATACGAAAGGGAACATCGCTTTCTTAAACTATTATACTAAGGGTCCCTCGAGTAATTTATCAATATTAGAATGACTTCGACATTGCCATCCTATTCTTATAATATAATCTACATTATTCACCCAAACTATATTTTGACACTGAAAAAATTAACAATCTTCATTCTTCTTTTGAAAAACAAAAATCTTTTCTTGATGAGAGAATTAAAAAAAAAGTGTTTTATAAAAATTTATTTAGTCAGTAAACATATATGGACTTTCTTTTGATGTTGTATTCATTTGCCATCACAAAGTTCTTTGCGGTTTGTGTGTAGCATTTTATATATGACTTATACATTACTGATGAGTGATGGCTCATAAAACCGCTTATCGTTCTGCGTTTCGAGACGCAAGCAAACGATCCTCTACTTTCGTTATCGTTTTTTTTCTCTCTTTTACGCAAATACGAGAAAAGATTATTTATGTTCTCCCCCCATACCATCATTCATAGAGATCTTTTCGCGTTTGCTCATCCTAAAGTGGAACTTTTTTTTTCCATCTTTTGATGCACCTAGAGATTTCTGTATAAGCGACTATTCTATCTATAGGACGAAAATATTATGATTTTCGTATAGATGTAGATAGGTCCCTTTCACCGTGGAGCGTCACATTTATAGACTATATCAAGTTTTGAATCCATATCAATTTTCGATATTGAATAAATATATTTTCGATTCGAAAATATTAGTTACAGAAATAATTTCACGGAGGAAAAACAAATTTAGTTGTTTTAGCTATAATGGAAACTTATGAATAAAAAAAAATTGCTATATAAATCATAAGAGTCTATTTTTATAGAAAAAGTCAAATATAACAATACTTCGTGGAATTATTTCCAAATGCTAGTATGTATACACAAAACCACTGAACGAAATATATAGATTGTCAATCACATATGGTTTATCATGATAATCGGAGTACGGCACATATGCACTTTGGATACATGATATGCGTCAAATTTTCCAAGCGAGTGAATCCTCGAGGATATCCTATTATACTCGAACTGTCAGACTATAGTGTAGGCGACGTGTTTGGGCAATTGCTTTTGAGGACTTATTCTGGGGGGTCAAAAATATATATATATACGATATGGATGTCAGTGAGGCGTGAGGGCAATTGTACAAAAATTTAGGGTTCATCAAGAGTCAACATTTTGCACTCGTACATTGCGTAATGTTCCCACGTTCTTTTCGATTCTTTCCTAAAATAGAATTTCAAGGAAATAATTTACTGTTTGATACAGAAATAAGAGCTTTACCTGCAGCATCTATATAATAACAGGGTTGCCACAATTCAGGAAAGTCAAGAAATTCAGGAAATTCAGAGAAAAGTCAGGGAAATTAGAATTGGTCAGGATTATCAGGGAAAAGTCCGGGATTTTTAATAAAAGTACTGGAAAAATTTTAATTTTTTGAATTTATAAGAAAATTCTGAATTTTAGTCTTTTTTGTTTGCCTCAAACTATGAAATTGTCAAGAATTCTAATAATACGAAACCTTCAATTTTTTCTATTTATGACAATAATTAATTTTTAAATAACTCAATTCTTCAAGAACTATCATAAATATTATTACTTAGAAATTATTTCAATTATTTTTAATATCTACTATTTTAATAACATTTTCCAAAAGAATTCAATTATTTAATCAAAATTTTAATAAATATTTCAGAGGAATTCAATTACTTACCAATTTTTTATAAATTTCTTCGAACCAATTCAATTATTTTTCATTTCTAAATGAAATTTCTCGAAAAAATTCCAATATATTCAGAGAATTGAAAAAAAAATAGTTCTGAGAAATTCAATTATTTCGAAAAATTTAAATAAAAATCTTTTAAAAAATTTTAACAAAATTCTTTACAAGACAATTCTTTCTAAAAATTCAATTATTTTCACGAATAATATAAATTTTTTCATGCGAATACAATTATTTAAAAAAATTTGAATAAAACTCTTCGTCATATTTCAATTATTTTCAATTTTTTAATGAAATTTAACTTTTTCTTAAAAAAAAGTTGTAAAAAATTTTGCGAAATTCAATTATTATTTAAAAAAAATTTGAATAAAATTCTTCCCAAGATTTTAATTCTTTAAAAAAAACATTTTCACAGGAATTCAATTATTTAAAAAAAAATTTTAATAAAATTCTTCGTCAGATTTCAATTATTTTCACAATTAAAATTCTTCACTGGAATTCAATTCTTTAAAAAAATTTTTAATGAAATTCGTTGCAAGAATTTAATTATTTTTATAAATAACAAAATCTTATCGCAGAATTTCAATTATTTTTTATACAATTTTAAAAAAATGATAGAAAATTGCATTTATTAATTTTTTTTTGAAATTCGCCGAAAGAATTCAATTAATTTTTAAAATGTTGATAAAATGCTTTATTAATTAAAAACATTATAATAAAAGTTATCATAGAATACAATTATTTTCATAAAGTATAATATTCTTCCTTGGAATACAATTATTGTCAAAATTTTTTGTAAAAATCTTCGAAACAATTCAATTATTTAAGAAAGTTGAATAAAATTCTTCCCAAGATTTCAATTCTTTTCAAAAATAACCATTTTCACAGAAATTCAATTATTTAAAAAAAAAAAATGTAATAAAATTCTTTGTCAGATTTCAATTATTTTCAATTTTTTAATGAAATTTTTCAATAGAATTTACTTTTTTTTTGAAAAAGTTTTAAAAATTTTGAGAAATTCAATTATTACTTAAAAAAATTTAAATATAATTCTTCCCAAGAATTCAATTCTTTTCAAAAATAAACATTTTCTCCAAAATTCAATTATTTTCACAAATAAAATTCTTCACTGCGGAATTCAATTCTTTAAAAAAATTTTTAATGAAATTCGTTGCAAGAATTCAATTATTTTTATAAATAACAGAAGCTTATCGCAGAATTTCAATTATTTTAATAAAATTTCTCGTTGGAATTTAAGTTTTTTAAAAAAGGTTTAAAAAATTCTGAGAAATTGAATTATTATTTTAAAAAATTTAAATAAAATTCTTTACAAGAATAATTATTTTCATAAATAATAATATTTTTCTTTGAAATTCAATTATTTTCACAAATAAAATTCTTCACAGGAATTTAATTCTTTAAAAAATTTTTTAATAAAATTCATTGCAAGAATTCAATTATTTTTTTACATAACAAAATCTTATCGCAGAATTTCAATTATTTTTTATACAATTTCAAATAAAATGATGGAAAATTGCATTTATTCTTAAATTTTTTTTTAAGTTCTCCGAAAGAATTCAATTATTTTTAAAAATTGTGATAAAATTCTTCGTAAAAATTCAGTTATAAGAAATATTCAATTATTTAATAAATTATTTATTTTTGTATTTTAATAATTGAATTCTCGAAAAAATTATTAATAAAAATTGATTAAATAGTGAATTTTACTTAAAATTTAAAATTATAATTTGAATATTAAGAGCATTATAGCGTGAATTTTTAGAAATAACCGAATTTTGAAAAGGGTTGAAAATTAAAATCTTTGAAAATTTGAATTTATAGGTACAATATTCTTATGATATGAAATAATGATTTTATCACTCTGTCATCTTAAATTTATCGTAAAACACGAAGAAAGCAATGACTCTAAGTCGAAGACTCAAAGTGATCGGTTTCTTCGTGCTTTATAATAATATTCTCATAAGTTATTGAATTTCAGAAGGTTTGTATTTTAGAATCTTAATTTCTATAGAAAAAGAATAATAATTAAATATTTATTTAAAAAAGAAGTTATTGGTGTTTTCGAATAATTTTACAATTTTAGAGAAATTCATAAATAAAAACATCTTTTATTAAGATGTTTAGGCCAAATGTTATAAAAACGGCTACTTTCACCCCTAGAGTATAAAACAGCACGTGGAAAAAATGCCAATTCATTAAATAACTTTCGTACTATTTTCCTTTATATATAAAATTTCACTGCGAAGGAAGACTGAACTGTAAATATTTTTAAATCATTCTGAGAAGTACATTTTCAGAAGTAATCGTTCGTGTGAACAAAGACACGGCTACCGCGAAGAAGTAAATTTTTTTGCAGATTACTTGGCATAGCTTTGCAATTGAAGCAGATTGATTTTCCTTTTTCCGGGTATTGAATAAGGTTGACATATATATATATATATATATATATAAAAATACAGAAATGTGGTGAGATTGTATAAATATATACGTGTGAGTATTGAGAGTATAACGATAAAGTTGTGGAAAGAAAGAAAAGAGGGACAAAGAATAACGGGGACAGAATGAGGATTCGAGATACTCATGGCCGACGAGGAGGAGCAGTGTCTAACCAATTACTTGGCCGAGCGGTTTTATTTGTATTTAATTCTCATTTAATTTACTTTTTACGGTTCCCTGCTTACGAACGTCGTTAACGAAATGGAAGAAGACGATTTTCTTCAAGACGAATTTTCGCGAAACTCTATATATATATATATGTGTATTGTTCAAAAAATGTATATATGTATATGTACTAAAATCTAGGTTAGTTAGTTTTTTTCCCCTTTAATGAAAATATAAGTGACAGAATTTATTTTCTATACAATTTGAATTGTTATTTTCCCTTGGACCGAAGATGTAAAACAGAAAAATACAAAAATTCCCAATTATTATACATGTTAAATATATTCAGAATTCTCGAGCATTATCATTATTGTGTATTTTGACTAGAAGTAATAATTATTTTCAAGCGAAAGAGGTTTTTGGTTATAATCCAGAAAACGGTGGGAAAATAATTCCTGCATCACTTAAGCCTGCGTAATAAGTTATACTTGAGCTCTTCTCTCTCTTTCTCTTTTACATGTATATACAACGAAATGAATTTGCTTATGTAGGCGCAGTCAGTGTAAAATGCTGTCCAGTTAATATTACCTATATTGTTAGGGATTATAATCCGAGAGGACATTGTAAAACAGTCGAGATTTTACGGCACACTCTCTGTCGTAAAAGTGGCTTAGGCATCCATCGTCAATAAATTTTCTGTAAATTGATTTTGAATTCAAGAAATAAGCCCCAAGTTTGCAGCAAAAGAGAATTGTATTAAAATTATAACAATAATTTTAACTTCTAATTATGTAAAAATCTTAAACTTATTTGTTTTTGTTAAAATCTATAAGATTTCATAGAATATCTAAAAAGAGTAAATAACCATAAAAATGAAGATATATGCTTGGCGATTAATTACCAGGCGCACAGATTCTAATTATATGAAGTGTAAACCTTAAGCCTTGAGGAGGAAAGAGGAAGTGGTATGCGTGCCACGACAAAAGTTTTGGGGATCAAAATTCAACCCTCAGAGAGAACAAACCACGATTACCTTCTAGGACCCTTCACAGCCGAGCCCAGTCCTTAAACATTAAACCTATATAGAGCGGAACCTGAGTTAATCAGCGACGACCTTCTCGTTCGTTTCTCCCACTGGCTTTCCTAAAATAACGCGCGACGCACCATTATCCAAGAAGGGAGATTGATTTTTATTATTCACTGAGTGAATATACTCGAAAACTTCCGTCGAGAGACTAATCCTGTACCGTAATAGCAATTCTCGACTTTTTTCTCGGGAAGAAAATATTTTTGAAAAAAGATGTTGTTTCTGAACAGGTTTGTAAATTACGACGTTCGAAATAAACCTCTACAGCATCTACATTGACAACATTGCCTCAATACTATGTGAAACTTTTACAGCAATATTGTCAATTTTGCTGAAAATTTAGATGCTGTTGTAAATAAATAAAAAAATAAATAAATAAATTTTCAGAGTAAAACTTAGAACTACATTTATTTTAAAGTACTTCCAGGATTCGCACTTATCTACTAAAACCCTACTATTTACTACTTTTTTACGTTATTCTACTATTTAAGTACTTTTTTTAAATTTCAGCTACTAAAAGCTACTATTTCTATTATTTTTGACAATTTCCACTACTTATTCGCTAATAATAGAAATCAAGAACTATTCTCAAAAATTATAATCAAATTCTTTAAAGCGATTCAATTAATTTCAAAAAAATAATATTCGAAATTCTATTTTCAATATCTAATATTTTCATAAAATTTCACAAAAGAATTCCAATATTTAAAGAAAAAATTGATAAAATCCATTCAAAATTCAATTATTTTTATAAATAATAAAATTTCCACATAGATTCAAATAATTTAGAATAGAGTTTTCAAAAAAATTTCAAAAAAATCAATTATTTAACAAAATTTTTATACAATTTATTCTTCACAATAATTCAATTACTTTCACTAATAATAACATTTTTCATGGAAATTCAATTTTTCTAATAAAATTTTTTGATAAAATTCTAAACAAGAATTCAATTATTTTCATAAATATAATAAAACTCATTGAAGAATTTTAATTCTTTTTAATAATATTTTAATTTAATTAATCAAAAAATTCAATTATTTTTCATAAATAAAAGTTTCCACAAAAATTCAATTATTTAAAATAAAAATTTTCATAATAGGATATTATATTTCAAAAAAAATTAATTATTTAAAACAATGTTTATAAATTCTTATGAAAAATTCAATTATTTTCAAAAATAATAAAATTTTTCCCAGAAATTCAATTCTTTTAAAACATTTTAATAACATTTTTCACAATAATTCAATTATTTTTATATATAAAATAAAATTCTTCTCAGAAATTCAATTATTTTTTAAAATTTTAATAAAATTTTTTTCAACTATTTAATTATTTTCATAAATAATAAAACTCATCGACGAATTTCAATTATTTTAATACTATTTTAAATTATTAAAATTCAATTATTTAAAATAAAATTTTCATAATATTTACTATATTGCGAAAAAATTAATTATTTAAAACAATATTTATAAAATCTTATGAAGAATTCAATTATTTTAAAATAAATAACAACATTTTTTACAGAAATTCAATTCTTTTTAAAGATTTTAATAAAAATTTTCTCGAAAATTCAATTATTTTTATAAATAATATAACTTTTCTCAGAAATTCAATTATTTTAATAAATAATAAAATTCTTCTCAGGAATTCAATTATTTCCGAAAATTTTAGTAAAATTCTTAGCAATTATTTAATTATTTTCACAAATAATAAAATTCATCGCAGGATTTCAATTATTTTTAATATTATTTTACGGGAATTGCTAAAAAAATTGTAATTATTCTTGAAAATTTAATTTCAATTCCTCGAAAAAATCAATTATTTAAAAAAATGTTTTTTTTTTAATTCTTTGGAAGAATTGAATTCAATTATTTACAAAAATATTAAAATTTTTCACAGGAATTCAATTATTTTCCCATATTTTAATAAAATTGTCAATCAATCATTTTAAATACAATTTTATTTTAATTTTTTTGAAATAATTCAATTATATTCTTTTAGATTTTAACAAAATTCTTCCCAAGAATTCAATTATTTACATAAATAATTCTTCGAAAGAATTCAATTATTATAAAGATAAATAACAAAATTATTCCCGAAAATTCAATTATTTTGAAGCACTTTAAGATCATTCTTTGCAAAATTCAATTATTTTCATAAGTAACAATATTCTTTAGAAGAATACAATTACTTTTAAAAAGTAATAGATCCCTTCTTGGAAATTCAATTCAAATTTTTTTGTTGTAAAAATATCTTCGTAAAAATTCAATTTCTTTCATGAACAATAAAAATTTCTCAGGTATTCAATTATTTAAATTATAGAATTTGCATAAAATTTAGTCGAAAGAAATGAATTTTTTAAAAAATTTTATAAAATTCTTCGCAAGAATTAAATTATTTCTATAGTTATTTAAATTCTTTCGTATGAATAATAAAATTAGTTGCATAAATTCAATTTATTTACATCAGGATGAGAAATAAATAAATATTTTTTATGAAAATTAGAAAACAGCCAGGAAAACTGTGCGCACCTTAATTCAGCTGTAGTAACTTAAATTTTTGTGACAGTTTCGTAATTTTCAGTTACTCTCTATACTTTTTGAAACGATTCCCAAATTTTCAGTTACATTTCATTAATTTTCCTTAAGTAGTTACTGATTTATTTTTGAGTACAGTTCGAATTCCTTTACTCATTTAGGATTTTTCCTAAAAGTTTTGAATTTTGAGTAACATTTAGGAATCATAAGAAACATTTAGTAAATTTCAAGGAAATGTAACTTACAAATGCTTTCAGTACCGTCATTTGGAAAATTTCGTTACATTTGTATCTGAATTTTATCGGAATATTCAGAACATTTTTAACAGTGTAACGTTAGTCTAACGTTAGTAACATTAGCTAACATTAACTTTTCCACCTGGGTTACTACTTTTTTAGGTTTGAAAGCTGCTTTTTCAAAAATAATTATCTATATTTCTCAAAACTTGGCTTCAAGAGATTTTTAATATACAATTTTCATACAGATGAGAGGGAACAAAAGATGTTTAAAGAACTACATAACAATCCGCCTATAAAGAGTTGTAATGTTGTGCGTTTTAAAAAAAGCAATTTATGACTAGATAATGTTCTACCCTGCGCAATCATGGTCGGATTATGTTGAACGCAAAAATAATGACGGAGGGCTGTGCGGTAATAGCATACGGGGTCAAACGGAGTAGCAAAGATATCGGACTAAACACAGACGCGACACACACACATTGGTGTAGGTGCATGTAGAGAATTTTGAGAATGTATATAAGCACGGGGTGAATAAATGATATTCTATGAGAAGCATATGCAGGAGAGAGAAATCTAGTCAATAGGCAGCGGGGTACTGGTTTATTACAAACAAGGATTATTGGGGGTAATGGGGACATTTTGCCCCTTTTTTCCACAACAGTTGCACTGACTCATACTAATACTCACTCTGCTACTAAAACTACTAATACACTACTATCTATACTATTTGTACTACTATCTGTACTATATGTACTATATGTACTATATGTACTATCTGTACTATATGTACTATCTGTACTATCTATATTATCTATGCTACTATCTATTTTACTAATTAACAAAATTAATCATGTTCACAGGAAAAAAGAAGTGTTATTTTAACACTAAAAGTAGTGTTAAAACAACATGCAACATTTTTAACCGATACTGCGTGATTTTAACACTTCATTGATGTTAACATAACACTAGAACGTGTTAAATTAACACTAGAGGGTGTTAAATTAACATACATTGTTAACGGGGTTAAAATAACACAAAAGTCCTTGTGTATACATTTTCTATGTATTTTTGAATGGACCCTAGCTACAAGTAACTAGTAGTATAGACTGAAAAATATATCACAGAAAATCTATAATACATCGCATACCTTTTTTTGTTATTATAACACTTGGCTCCCTTCAGAATATCAGCTTACAACCAACGCAATATTATCTCCGGTACCAATTTGTCAACACGATCAGATAATCTTATTACATTATGACGCGTGCTCCATCTACTGCCACACAACTACTGATAATTCAATCACTTGAGATTGCACAGTGATTTCAATCTTAATCCGTTGAGCAAATTATATGTTAAATCTGTATATAGTAAAGTGCTACATTAGAATAGGAATAACATTGCTACTAAAATTTTACTTTGTTTCCCCTCGTCTCCAGAGTGAGATAATTATTCCTTTTTCCCTGATAAAATCCAAAGGGGGTTCAATTATATAAAAAAGATCATTTTTAAAAAAAATTATTATCATTAAAATTTTTTAAAGAAGATCATTTTTAAAAGCAAACATCTAATTAAAACTGATGGATATGTGCTTCCCGTATAGCTTAAAAATAAAATTTTATACTGTGATCAACTTCCGTCGGCTATATTTCAGTGAATCAATATAATTCTTATAACAAAATTTAATTATTTCAAAACATAAGCCACTTGTTTATAAACATTCGACAATCTTTAAAAATTTGATTATTGCAGTAAATGTCCCGACTTTTGGAAACAAATTTAAGAACTTTTTTTTTCCCTTGAAAGATTCGAAGCGATGATAACTAAATATTGTAATAAGTTCCATCAATTTTTCGACTGTAACCAGCATTCGTTTGATCCGTATGAGGACCATCGATGGCCAACTTCAAACTGCTAGGATGAATTCGCCGCACTTGTTTACTTAATTTCTCGGATTCTTGCAAATTCGAGTCTTCCCTTGAATTTGCAGCTTTGCCTCTTTTATACTTTTTCACTTCCATCTGACCATTTACCTTTTTCAGTGGATGTCCCAAGGCTGGAGGTGGTTTTATGAACGTCTGCAATAATTTTAAACTTCAGGATATATGCGATTTGGTGAAATTTGCTTTTGACTTCATTTTGAATCTCAAAGTCAAAATCAAAGCCAAAGTCAAAAACAAAGTTGAACCGAAAATAAAAGTCAAAGTCAAAAACAAAGTCGAAGCGAAAATGAAAGTCAAAATCAAAGCCAAAGTCTAAAAACAAAGTTGAACCCAAAATCAAAGTCAAAGACAAAGTCGAAGCGAAAATGAAAGTCAAAATCAAAGCCAACGTCAAAATCAAAATCAAAGTCAGAGATGAGAATAATTAAAAATAAGAAAAACCTTAATTTCATTGCGAAGAACGCGCCAGGTTTCAATTCCAAGAGTTTCGGGCTGAATTCGAGTATACATTTTAGGAACGAATGTATCTTCGCAATGTTTGTAAACTGAAGAAAGAGCATAATCAAGAGAGTCTGTGGGGACCTGCAAGAAATATTCTCACATAGAAGAAGAAAATCAGCGAAAAAAATGTAAATAGTCGATCAATCTAACTACAATCTACTATATAACTAAACTAAAATCTACTAAACTACATCACTAAACGAAATTTAATTACTATTAACTAAATTTAACTACAAAACGGAAAAAGAAATAAAATTTTCAACGTAAAATTCAAAATTTCCAATGTCAGAATATTAATTAACCTGCGGTCTATATAAACGATGATCCTTTCTAATACTGGTTAGGGTGTGATGAGCAAAAAGTCGTTCATGAGGTTGTAACTTTGCCTGCCAGGTTTTGTCGTCAGTTGACACACTTGGCCCCAAATATGGTCCGTCCAATATCCAATTTCCCTCGCGTGAAATATCAGGCACTGGATAAGGATTACGAACCAGCGACACCTTCGTTATCATCTTATCATTTTCTCCTCTAAAAACCTCAACAAAAAAGGGGAAACAATTTTCTCTCTTACGTTATACTTTATTATTGAGAAAAAATAAATTCTTACTCTTTAATTTTCTTACTATTTATGTGAATTAAAAAAATTAACCAAAATAAACTAAATTCACTGTCAAAAAAAAAAAAAAAAAACATTTCTAATAAGTGAAGTCTGAAGCAAATGGCACTTTTTTCTGAAATCTGAAATTATAAAAATATTAGAGAGTCGATAGCTACACTCTAATTAGAAAGTTAGTGCGGTAGGATAACCATCTTTTGGACACAGCTTTAGTTTATCAAATCTATACGAAAGGTTGTTCAAAAATTATAAATTATAAATAAATATTTTAAATTTTGAGAAGAAAACAAAAGTGTGAGATTCTCAGCTTACAAAATGAAATTGTAAAACGATGCGTAGATATTGTATTGTAATAAGCATTGTTTCGGATGGAGTTTAATCATTTGAGAAGTTTGAACGTATAAAATTAAGGGTGTAGTGTCCCAGGGACACGTGCCGCCACGTGAACTGGTCGCTTTTATACAAACAGCATTATGCATGCTCGTGCTGACATAAATTACTGTGGGTTTGATATTGGGCGTTGATATTGGCTACTAGGCGACCACCTCCTGAGCAAAACACACGTTTAAATACGAGAAAGTAACGTTTACACCCTCATATACCCAAAAAAAAAGGACAATGAATCACACGAAAGTCTTTTCACGCCGTGTGATCTCTCACATTTATATTCTACTTAAAATATATTAATCAATCCTGTCACATTATTCCATTAACCGCGAAAGCTTAAGAAATCACTGTTAATAAAACCACAAAGTCACACTACGACATTTATAAATATTCTATAAAGTTCCCATCAATTCTTTAATTAATTTCCAATGACAGTCGAAAATTTTCATTCTGAAACGGATATAATTTAACTTGAAGCAAACTCTTCATATTTCTCCATTTTTACCAAAAAAAAAGTATAAAAATTAAAAAATATCAGCTGTGGTTACTTTCCCTTAATTTTTTAAATTATTTATTTCTGATGACCCGGATAATTATTAAAACTGTTCTAACAATAGTCTAGGACTAGTAAAAAATTATTTACCAACAATTGTTGATAAACAAATGATAAAACTCGATCAAAAATCAATTTTTCATCTTCTGCTGATTGGCGGCTGTGGTTACTTTTTATTAATTTTTAATTAAATTGATTCTAATGACCCGGGCATTTTTTGGAATTGTTCTAGCTACAGTCTAGAACGAGAAAAAATTATTTACCAACAATTGTTGATAAACAAATGATAAAATTAAAAAAAAAATAATTTTTCATCTTCTGCTGATTGGCGGCTGTGGTAACTTATTAATAATTTTGAATTAAATTGTTTCTCATGACCCAAGAATTTTTTGAAATTGTTCTAGCAATAGTCATGGACCAGTAAAAAATTATTTACCAACAATTGTTGATAAACAAATGATAAAATTAAAAAAAAATAATTTTTCATCTTCTGCTGATTGGCGGCTGTGGTTACTTTTTATTAATTTTAAATTAAATTGATTCTAATGACCCGGGTATTTTTTATACTCGGGCTCTAGTTACTTTTGATTAATATTGTTATAATTAAATTAATGCTGATGACAGTGATAATTATTTTACTACTTTTGATGTACTACTATTAATTATTTACCTTCTGTAATAGTATTTAATAATAGTATTAGTAATAAAATAGAAATTATTTTAACATCAGATAATTAAAATTGAGTCTTACGTTTAGTAAACTTTTCTATAATTTTAAATAATCTCCTCTTAGGAAGGCATATCAGACATAATAAAGAAGAGATTAAAAATCCCTTTCTTCGTTATCATTATACACATGTATATATTGAAAAAGGCTTAAATTTACAAATGTTTTCTTTAACCATATAACAATGGAATTTCTATATATGAAACATGTTGAACTTCCCACGTGGAAAGTTTAAGTGTTTACTAAAAAACCTCGAGGGATGAGGAGTGACGTTTCGAATGGAGCACGTAAAAAGACTCATGGATCTCAACTGTGACCTGTGATCAATGTTGATTTAGAGTGTGCTACATTACACGTGCCCGATGTAGACGAACGCAAAGCTCCCTCGATCTAAACTTCAGCACGCGTCACGATTACGCGATTACGCGATTACGCGTGTCATCTCGAATCGGTAGTTGGGGGTACACATATCTTGTCTCTCTTGCACTTATACAATATGAAAAGCATCATTCTGTACTATGCACAAGCAATGACGTGGAAGACCTAAAAACCACCCTTCTCTCTATTCTGTCGCAAACCCCTGTCAAGTAATGCGCCCATCTGCCAATGGAAAAAAGATATGCAACCTTTTCCATCTTTTTGACGTTTTTTTTTACACTCTGTTTCTTCTTCTCCGTGTGTATATTATAATGCATCTAAATAGGGGTGTTTTCCGAAATAATTGTATACAATAAATGGAAAAATCTTGGAAAATGCTTTTCGATAAGGATGATTATATAAAAGAGAGCGTGAAATAAGATTTTTTTCATATATTACTGTAACACGGGGAAAATTTATTCTTTACAGTTTGGGAAAATTTTTCTATAAAGTTGGGATAGTTGGGATAGTTAGGGCCGATTTCACCAACACCGATTAAAAGTTAATCAATGATTAAATCCTCAATTAACCAATCAGAAGCCTTTAAACTGTCTTTAATCATTGATTAACTTTTAATCGGAAGTTGGTGAAACTGGTAGTTAGTTTGTTAGTTGTTAGGATTATGGATTTTTCGAATCCTTTTTGGTGTGTTAATTTAATCTGCAACGCTTTTTAATACCTTACAATTTACTGTGCGCCTGTGAGTTAAATTAATTTCAAATAGAATCGGATGATTCTTAACGACCCCTTTGTTTGTGGGGCCAAAGCAGAAGAAAAAATTATAATTCCTTTTTGAAGAAACACGATTTTTTGGATTATACATTTTATACCGCTTTGTGATCCTCTATTTCAATATTTACCCCCTATCACTGTAGTATTTACATAAACAACTTTTTTTTTTAAGGGGCCGCAGGAAAATAGCTAGATTCAGTATTATTTCGAGTGTAAATACGAAAATAGTTGGAAAAGCTATTACACTCGAGAAGGTAAACTTCTGCGCCCTTTCTTTCTATTCCTTTCATCCTAATCCTTCGTTATATGTATATATGTTTATTCTTAGCTGGTTTGGGGTCGCGCATTCAAATGGACAAAATTCCCATTCTCACTCTGCTATATATATATAGCGTCCAAGAGAAATAGAATGAGGCAGGTCCTGGGGACAATGCCAGGGTTTGATATTGCCAATATTTGGTTTGATTCTCGGGTTAAAATGAAAATGCAGGGGTGCAGTACTAGACACTGCAACCCCCAAGTTATACAGTTATACTGTACCGTCAGCATAGAGAGACGTATTCGATATAAAGAGAGAGAGAGAGACAGATATTAGACGCGTGAGCGAATTACCATTTGAATGCTTTCGCCTAGCTTTTGCCACTGGTCAGCTTTATTGTCAGTCCTTGTGATGCTAACCGCATGTATATATATCTAAAGGACACCCTGCAGTGTCATATGCTCATAACAATGTCTTTTTAAGAAAAGAATCGACCTTTCGAAGTCAATATCTATTCTCCAGGTCCATCTTGTGAGAAGAAAAGGCTTGACTTCCATTAAATTTCAAATAACATTTTCGATAACCTTTCAAAAACCTTTCAATAACCTTTCAACAACCTATCAACTTTTTCTCAAAGAACTCCTCTGCTGAACCCACGATTTTTTGCAATATAAATGGAAATTCATTTTTTATCAATAACTTCCCAGGTGGAAAAGTTAACGTTAGCTAATGCTACTAACGTTAGACTAACGTTAACTAATGTTAGACTAACGTTAGACTAATGTTAACTAACGTTATAATTTTATATTAGTGATCAAAAATGTCGTTAGCCTAACGTTAGCCTAACGTTAGTCTAACGTTAGTAGCATTAGCTAACGTTAACTAACGTTAACTTTTCCACCTGGGTTCAATCTGACATGAAATTAAAGTCAACTAAATTCAAGTTGATATATATCAAATATTTAAGTTTAATTTCATTTTCCTGAAATGGGAAGAATAGAAGCTATCATTTCCCGCCAATTTAAAGAAGCGCAAGGTTGGTGAGAATAAGTGGTTAAGACGAAGATCACTAAAGCTTATTGTACACTTTTATGGGTTAATCTTCTTCTTCTTCTTCTTCTCTTTTTGTCTTCTTTATAGGAAAAGAGTAAATTATACGAGTGGGAGGGTAATGAAGAGAGATCACTTGGAAAATAAATTCCTTACACCCTGCGTGTCCAATAAGGTAAAAGTAATAGGGAGGGATGTTGAGAATAAACGCGACAGGTGGCCCGTGAAATCTGTGCACGAGTGCAGCGAATCTGCACCCTCGTTTGATGTGGCTCATTAAGAAATCAAGTGTGTAACGACGAGTATCCTATGACGGGATTCGAATAGCGACGACAGATTCGAATTGCGATATACAGATTAAAATTATAATTAATTGTTAATAATTTTTTAACATCTAAATAAAATTTTCATTTAAACAATTAAATTTTAAACTTTTGTTTCTTTGTTTCTTTTCTTAAAACTCGAATTTTAACATCTTTTTAGAATGAGAGAGTGTCAGGGGAAAAAAGGATTGCGCAGGCGCAAACTTTTTTTACCTCCTACGTCACCTGACCTATTCAACATGAACAATATAATTAATTATATTTTTGTGAAGTTAAAGATTATGGTTAAAACTAACAAAACTTTACTTCCCTACTTTCCACGATTTAATTAAATTAATAATTAATAATTAAAATTACAGGATTTGTATACTCGAGATAATTAATTTTTAAAAAGTAGCTTAAAGACAGAAAAAAGTAGTAAAAGAAGTAGCTTTTAAAAAATTAAACTTGTCAATTATTGTCAAAATTGTTT